GCGCCACTCGATCGCGCTCTAACAGACGCGAACGCGTTCTCGCAAAAAGGGGGAAAGCGGAAGGTTTCGCTCCGGCAACTTTTCTTTCGAGTACGTACTTGGGGCTGTTCCATTGAAAGTGTGACATTTACATGTGAACCGCAGTTTGCAGTAATTTCGCTTGTGCTCGAGCAACTCGCCCAGGTCTGTGAACATCTCCCTGCAGTTGCCACAGATCAGGATGTCCGGATTGCCTGAAACATATGGAAATTACAAACTGATTTCCTCCGATTTCCTCTCCGTTTCTTCTTCTTCTTCTTTTTTTTGAATTTTTATCGCAATTCGTCTCGATATTTATTTCTCTTCCCCCTCGTCGATCTCACGTATCTTATCAACGCGAATTTTAGTTTTGTTGGCAATCGCTTTCAAGTCGAATGAATTCGAAATATTAAAACATATCTGTACCGTGTCTCATTAAGGAGAGATAATGGAACGCAATTTTCTTTCTTTTCTTTGTTAGCGAAATTGTAGGTAGCTGTGATGCGATTACCGGGAATAAAAGGCGAGGCTCATGAGGCACGTTTGAAGCTGGAATTAAGTTTGGAATGCAATTATACGGAAGGAAGCCTTGTTACTCGAAAATTATGCAACTCGAACGGAATGGCAAAATTCTTTTTTTTCTTTTGTTTTTTTTCTTGAGCATCGCGTCGTGCGTGGTTCGACGTTCGACAACCGAGAGATCCTGGATGTTTCAACAACGTTTTCGTCGGAAGCGGAGATCACGCGACTAATAAACGAAATTTTCACTGCCACTTACGGAGATAATCCGCCGCGGGGTAATTAACTACGAGAACTTTTTCCTCCTTCTCTTTTTCCTGTTCTTTGAACACCGCCGATCGATAATTCGAAATTGAAAGCATAAATGGAAATTTGCTCTCTCGGCGGTCCCGCGATGAATAATAACGTTCTCTGTTAACCGCAGCTCTTCCACGTTATTCTTTATTCATCGTGTTTAAAGACCGTCTTCGCGCGCGCGTAATTAAAGCACGTCCCGCGCGCTGAAACAAGTGTCGACGACACGCTCCTCTCCTCCTCCCCATCCCTCTTTCGCGTGCTAAGCTTTTTCCCGGTACTTACTGGGGAAACTCGTGATTAACCTACGTGTACGAGCAAACAAACTGTACTTTCGCGACTGCCGGATACTCGAAGCATAACACGCTGTCGCAGACACTTCAATCCGTTTCCAGCCAATCGAGTCACGTCCTTCCTTCGCGTCTTCCCTTTTTTCACACACACACACACACACACACACACACACACACACCCTCCCCCCCAAGTTTTTCAATTTTTCGGCTGGATACATGATTGTGTGCATGTCTGACACTTTGACCACTTACTGTAGACTTTCAGCTGGTTCAAATCCGGGACGGTGGCCGCGTTGGTAGCCGGTTGCTGTTTCTGCTGCTTCGGGTGTTGCGATCGAGCCGGTGGCATCAGACGTGGTCTCTTCAACGGTGGCGCCAAACGGGGTGGAAAAGCAGTCGACGCGTAGTAACTGAAAATAAACTTGGATACTGAGTGTCACGCCAGACATTGGGGACCCCCTAACCTAGGGGGATGGTGAATAATAATTTACAGTGTGTTTCGGATCGCAACCGCCATTGGGGAACGAGGGAGAGGGATCGAGTATTCAAAGGGGGCGGTGTCGGCGAACAAATAATTTCGAAAGGAATTTATTAATTTAATTTATTCGACAACTCTTGAGAAATACTCTGCATCTTGCTAAATCCCGAGATCCACCACCGTGCCTCTGTGCACAAAGGGGTATAAAAACGTCGGACCTCGGGAGGAAATTCGAGGGAGAAACAAGAAGAGGATATCGCACGAGGTATTAGACAGTGGAAATTGAAGAAAGGGAAGACAGGTCAGAGATTTGAGAACTTCCGCGCCGGCGATCCGAAGCGCGAAAATTTCGTAAAAGAAGAAACTTCGGAGTGACTCGAGAGAGGTGAGATATTAAACATCGAAATACGAGGAGCTTGTATATCTCGGAGCGTGGATTCAATACATGTTCGAACAATTGAAATATAAATTTCGAACGAAAGGAGTTTGAAAATGGATTTTCTTTCTTTTTTCTCTCTTTTTTTTTT